GCAAACCAAATGCATGGACATACCTGTTGAATCCAAGATAGACCGTGCCAAATGTGCCTCTTCCCAGAAGCCTTCCTTTTTTCCATTTTGATAGATTAACAGTTGAGGCTTCAGCTATACCACAAGTTCTAGGAATTGGCAAAGTAGAAGGCCTGGTAGGAGAAGCCGGTAGAAGATGATTAGGAGATCCGGGTGGAAGAGGCAACCGGTGGCCTTCACTCTTCCCTTCATCCAACCTTCCTGCTGGAGTATCCAAATTAACCCCTCCAGACCGAGGATGCAGAGGCGAAGAACTGGTTGTAGGCACCCTTGAACGAACAGGGCTTTGTGTGACTGGACTATGCCGGCTATCACCAATTCCCCCTCTGTTGTTTAACAGGAAATAAAAATGTTTCTGCAATTAAGACTAACTCCACCTACTGAAAAATGACTTGCCCGACCTACCAAAGAATAAGAATAAAAATACCAGAAAACAACTTAAGCTAAGGGACTCATAAAACCAGATCGGAGTAAAGTGGCAGTGAAACAAAGACTCCTGGAAAAAGAGTCTGGTTAACAATAAATTCTCCCTAGTTCCGAAAAAAAAGCGCCTATCAAGTCAAGAGTGAAACTGCAATAATCTATCTCGCCAACCAAGAAACCTAAGCAAAATTTTCTGAAAAAAAAAACGAATCTTTGCTGACAAGAGAGCAAAAACAGACCTGAAAGAGGAGAACTGAGAACGAGCGATGCAGCTATGATCATCACATGAGCCAGAAGAGCTAACACTAGATCCAGAATCAGAGCCAGATGCAAATCTTACCCCGTGATCATTTCCAACAGAAGAAGGGGACACGGACGGCTCCGGCAGCGGATGTCCTCTGTCCATGGAAGAAGGAGAATCGAAGCCTGAGAATCCAGAAGAACCTCTGGCGCTAGGGAAATCTCTACTGGCTCTGCTTGAGTTCCTGGTTTCCTCCATACCAGAGAGCTCGCCGAAGCTCTTAGGTCTCTCTCTTCTCTCTGTAATCTCATTTTTCAAACTACTGGGAGAATTTGGGGAAAGAGATTTTGGGTCTTTCGCATTCCTCTTGGTGGATTTTTTCCCCCACCAAGCAGGCATTTCGCATGAACTACCTAACCTGCGAGCACGAAGAGGGGAGCGAGGATTTAGGAATTTGGTTCTTCTGCAGAAATGGAGAGGGGAAGTAGGAGAAACAAGAAAAAAAAAAGGAGAGATAGAGATAGAAAATTAGATGGAGCTTGGAGCGTTGGAGAGTAGGAGCCCTGGATTTAGGGGAATGGGATTTGGGTCCCACTCCCACAGACGCCAACCATTAGTTTAACATATTTAAGCCTTCGACTTATTCTGGTAAAACAGAACCGAAACCGATTACCCGAACCAAAATATCTGAAACCGAAACCGGAATGATCCGAAAAATGAATATCCGATCTATAACCGAAAACCCGAAATGATCCGAACCGAACTGAAACCGAACTAAATAATTCATATTCGATTTAAATCCGAAACCGATTAGATCCGAAACCGATAATATCCGAATCGATTAAACCCGAAACCGATTAGATCCGGACCCGATAATACCCGAAACCGATAAAATCCGAAACCGATTAGATCTGAAACCGATAATATCCGAACTCGATTAGAACTAAAATCGATAAATTCAGAACTATGTTTACCTTTCAATAAGCATATTATATTAGTAGATGTGAGAAAATTTTTATATTTCAAAACTAAATTTTAAAATCAATTTAATTATATTAAATTTATATCATAATTAAATATATATGTTTTCATAATCTGTAGTCCAACTTTGTAAAATATGACTAAAAAGTCAAAAGGGGAAAATTAGAAAATAGTATATATCCAAAATATATTTGATCCGAAACCGAAATATATCCGAACCGAACTAGACCCGAAACTGAAATATATCCGACTCAAATTGTATCCGAACCGAAATCTATCTGAACCGATTTATAACCGAACCGTATCTGAACCGACTCGAAACCGAACCGAACCGAAAAATGTAAAGAACCGAAATCAAATCAGAACCAAAATTTAACCGATCCGATCCGAACCGAACCGATTATAACATATAACCCAAAGATATCCGAACCGAAAAAATCCAACCCGAAACCGATCCGGTTGATCCGATTGCCACCTCTATCATTCCTATGTTCAAACAATTTCTTTTGAGTAAATTACACAAAAAGTCCCTAGTTATAGGTCGTTTTACCTATTTAGTTTTTACATATCAAATATTATTAATTTAGTCCCTAATTATTATATCATTTTTTACAAATAGTCCTTTGTTAACGTTTTTGTAATGATTTTGTTAAAACATGGATAAAATTATATATTAATACTTCTCTTTCTCCTCAATTAAAAATGTGTTGATTTAATTTATATTAAGAGAGTTAATTGGCCACATCCATTTCTATTAACGAAAATAAAAGATATTTTGCAAAAAATTTTCGTGGGGTATGAGACATAAATGAAAATGAACAGCAAAAATTTCATTTACGACGGAAGGAAGTAGTTTTTTAAGATATGAATTCCAAACAATACAACAAAGAACTTCACAATCTTCGTTCTTTCTCCATAAGTTCTTAGTAACTAGACTCGCATTCTTGCGTTGCACGGGCTAATTATTTACTAAATAATTGAGATTAGATTAGAAGAAGAAAAAAGTAACAAAATCGAAAGATTCAAAAAGTTAATACAATTGTAAACAAAGGAAACTTTACATAAATACTCAATGACCATGGCAAGTGTTATAAGTTTAGGAAAACTTCTTTATAAACTGCATTAGTAATTTAGTAGTTTAGTTTGACAATGGAAGCTCTTCACTGTAAATCAAGATCTTTAAGTCTATATGATTTTTGACACGTAAAATTACCACATAAAGTTATCCATGACTGAATACCGATTTCTTGAGTAACAACCCAACACGTGACAAAGATTGCCCTTGACTTTTGTTGGTCGCCATTACATATATAGTCATAATTGAGAAATATTTTCTTTGAAACTTAGAAGGAATTTTTGTATCTGATGGTGTAACAGAAAATCGTAGGATGACAATTTCGTGACCAATATTTTTCCCTATCATCATTGTCTCTTGAATAAGATGATTGCACAATTGAGTTACTATCAATCTTGTTCCATTTCACAAACTTGTAGGTTGGTCAATATTTCTCAACAAAATTATATGTTTTCTGACCTTTAACTTGAGTTTGTGATTTGGCACACCAGAAGCATATATGTTGTTTAAACATTCTACACGAATGCAAGTTTGTTAAAAAAATATGCAATTTGAATCAGACTTGCACATCGTATATTCGTATCAGAGTTAAAGTAGCTTTTCGCTTCTCCCACATATTTCATTGATGTCATGTTGTCATTTATTTCATCTACACTATTTAGAGTTGGAGCAAAAATAGATTGATTTTGCAAATAGATGGGATCATTTGCAATATTATAGAAACCTAGATAACTTGAATGAACTATAGTTGCAATTAGATCATGTGTGCTTTTATCAACATATCTTCACGAATAATTATCTCACTGAAACCATCATTTTCATCTCCAGCCAATCAATCATCGATATTATGAGAGATTTGGTTCAAGCGCATGTTTTAGTCAAACGTAACACGGTGTAATAGTTCCATATATATGAAGAGTTAATAGCAGCATTGACAATGTCTTGTCTTCTCCCTATAGGAATGACATTAGTATTAGCCAAAAATTTCCTCGTGACACAATAGTTTTTCCTCTAAAAGGCTGCTCAACATTTGATTTATTAACAACCGACATGGAATCACGTAGACTTCTATCTAGAGTTTCAGAACAATATTTGTGTGTCATCGTTGTTTTGTCCCAAACTATAATTTTGGTTTAGGCCAATAAATCAGGCAAAGGTGTTCCTTGTTTAATACTCCGTATTATAGGTGGAATGTTCATGCAGATTTATTGGGATTTATTGGAGCATAGAGATGCAGACAAAGTTTTCCAACCCAAGGTATTTCCATTCCCCCATAACCATATATGAAAAACTTTGCCCTCGTCGAAGTTGATTGAAGCCAATACTATTTCATAAGTTGTACGTTGTTCGTTATTCAACTCGGCCATCAATTTTTGGTGTTCACCTTTCAATGCAAGGCAATCATATTGTAGTTCTTCAAGAATAAATCTCTTGTGGGTGGTTAGTGTAGCGTATAAAGTAAGAAAAGGCATATCAATGAAGTCTCAAAGACTCTTGGCACGTATTCTAAGCAACCTCTTAATCTCAATCAAGACGTAATTCTTGATTTGATTCTCTTTGTGCTACTCGAGACGTCTTCTCGTGTTTCTCTACTTGTTCTTGTTGGGCTGCTGTCATGGGAGCCTTAACGTGATGGGAAGTTTCTGCCGGCGTGGATGCTTTCTTGCTGCTGTTATGCTCTCGCTGTTGCTGTCACTGATGAGGGGTTACTATCGTCGTGCTTCTCTTCTTGTGGAGCCGCTGCTGCCATCTTATCTCGCCATTACTTTGTTACGTCGGTCGCTAGAGTCCTGTGCTCAGGTCACTCAGCCACGTGTTTCACCGGGGACTGATCCATCATTGGTCCTGTGTTGAGAAGTCATGGTTTGCTGGCTGTGTGAAGGGAAGCAACACATTATTGCTGGTATGATAAAAAAGAGGGAGGCAAAGTCTAGTTATGCAGATGAGAGTAAAAATTTAGTTTTTAATTTTGCAATTTGTCTCCCATGCATTCAATTTGTTTGCAATCTGGTCATCTTATGTACTTAGGCCTTTAAAACTAACAATGACAATAAATCAATTCAAATTTACCAATCTAATGAAATGCAAACCATAACACTCTGATTTATAATCCAATTTGATAAGTCTATCACAGATACTAAAATGTGCCAGGGTAGAGGTTTGTGGCAATACAAAACTTATAGGCGATAACTATATGATGAACTGAAATTATGAAATAGGTCACCTAGTAAATCTAGGCGGATCTAAGTTGAATTAAATATTGGAAATCACCAATAAAATTGAGGTTAAATATTAAGGTCATGTGGCTGTCGTCGCACACATGGTGGTCTCAAGGGTTAAAAACGTACATATGGAGGTCAGTGAGTCAGTGACCCGCTGGTAAGAGTAGGTTGGACCTCAACCCCATACATTGAGAGATCTTTGGAGTTTGAGCATGGGGTCCGAGTGAAAGCTTGGATTCCACAACAAGTCGACAAGCATAGGATTGATGTGAACTTAGCTAAATAGGCAAGTGAAGTGAAACATAAACAAGATCTGAACTAAATAAATAAATGATTAATCATATTGTTGAATAATGGTATCTACTGATTCTTTAGCTATTGTGTGATTAAATATTGTTGCATGCTAGTTTGTAAATTAGTTCTAGCGTTAAATATTTACTCACTCAACTTTCAACTGAGTGTGTAGTCTTTGTTGTCTTTGACTGCACGTAAGTTGGGATCTAGAATTGGACAAGAAGCTAGGAGGACAGTGAAGCGTGACGCTCATGCATGACTAAAGCTCCTATTTTATTATTTTAGATATTCCAAATCAATTTTTATAAAACTAATTAAAAATAATTTTATTAAATTATTATTATTATTATTATTATTATAATCCACAACTTCAACTCCCTCCGTTCCCTTAAAGGGTTCCTGTTTTGACTTTTAACCAAATAAGGAACCCATATTTTGGCAAAGACCTTCCCAATTTACCCTCAATCTCACGTGGGGTACATAGAAAAGTAGCAAATTAAATAATGAGCATAATAATGACTAAGTTGTCATGAATATTGGATGCATTAAATGACTCCACACCAAAAGCTTTCATTTCACACGACATACATAATAAAAGAGGGAAAGTTTACATAATTTTTGTTTGGGCAAAATTTTAAAAAGCCCTCCAAATATTTCAACCTAAGACTACCACTTTTTAATATAAATACACTAAAGCATTAAATGCATTCATCTCCCTAAACAGCTATTGAATGAAAATGAGTGCTCCAATGCATCCGTCTGCCTTCAATTGGCATTGATGGAACCATCAAGTCTTCCAACTTCCACACATTTTGGAGATGCCAACGACGAATCTGCGAATGTCTCCCTGCCTCCACTATTGGAAGTACCTTTTGAAGATTTCAACACCCCTAAAACAATCAACATCTCATGTATTTGTGGTGTGCAAGCAAGAAACGAAAGGAGGCAACGAATAATCGAGGGAATATTATAAAATTTCAAAAAACGGAAAACTTCAGTGGCTAATGAATTCAACATAACTCCTCGTTGGGTTG